TGCAACAATGAATGAACGAAAACCCAAAAATCTCTGTAAATGTTCATTAAAACTAATAAAATTTAATTAAAAAAAAGTTATACTCTTTTAAACACTGAGATTTCAAAATTAAAAGAAATTCCTATTAAAAAATTGCTTTTTATCTATTAGGCTGATTTTACTTAACAGTTACTGACATTGGACAATGTTTATAGCATCTACTGAATGTAGTTATTGAAAAATGTCAGTCAGACTACACAGCAGCTGAGGCATGATACAGCAAAAACTTAAGAAATGTAAACATAGGGTTTTCAGCCTTATTTTAGTATAGCAAATACTGATTCTTAAAATAGTGGGCAAACTTGGACAGGAAGATTTGTGGGAACTTTAACGGGGCTTAAATAAACACGAACTCCTGATCTCCTCAAGGTGACAGTGATAAAAACTGACCTCTTAGGAAAAAGGTATTTCTTTTCCTGCTCCCTAAGTTCTCTAGTCTAAAATACATGCTGAGATTAAAAAGAGAAAACTGAAGCTAAGCCACTTTCTGCTCCTCAAACAAATGAATGGCTGAGTTAGTGACCTGAGGACCAGAAGCATTATCTGGAAACTTGCTGGAAACAGAAACAATCAATCTCAGGTTTTCCCCCAGATCTGCTAAATCAAGACTGGCCTTTTGAGAAGAGTCCCCTGAATGATACGCACAGTTGTTGTTATGTGCCGTCGAGTCACCCGCAACTCACAGTGACCCTATGTACCACAGCCCTAAACTCTGCTCTATCTCTTGCCAATCACATCGTCTCTGACACTATCTCCATTTCCCCAGTGACAGACTCAATCCATCTTATCGAGGGTCTTTCTCTCCTGCGCTGTCCCTCCACCCTCCCATGCATGAATTTCCTCTCCAAGGACTGGTCTTGCCTTACAACATGTCTAAAGTATGTCAGATGAAGTTTCCCAAATCCTTGCCTCCAAGGAGCAGCCTTGGCTTCACCCTCTCCAGAATAAACTTGTTTGTTCTCCTAGCAGTCCATGGTATATTCAATACTCTTCTCCAGCACCACAGCTCAAAGGAATCAACTCTCCTTCTACCACCCCTAATCATTGTCCAGCTTTCTGATGCATAGCAAGTGATTGCAAAGACCATGGCCTTATCAGGCACACCTTAGTCTACCGACTGACATTGTATGTATACGCACAGTAGCCAGAGTGTATTTGAAAGCACTATTCAGTCTAGACAAGCATATGAAGTTGAGTTAAAAATTATTCCTTTTATCTAAAAAGTCTTTCTAAGGTAAAAGGAGTAGAGAATATGGTCTTTAAATAAACCAGGAAGATAAAACAGTATAAAAGGACTAAATACAAATGTGCAATACTTCAAAGCTAATTTTAAAAAGGAATTGTCATTATGTAAAAATAACTATAACTGATACATGAGGCAGTTTAATCTAAAAAGCTCACTGCCACCTGACTCCCACTCAAGCTAACCCTCCATCAGGTTTCTGAGGCTGTGCACCTGAAAGGAAAAACAGCTCCTGATGCAGAGCTGCTGGTGGATTCAAAGTCGCCACCAGGGTAGCCTGGCCTTTTGCAGTAGCACAACACACTACCAGAGCAGCTAATGTTCCCCAAAATGCAAAAACAATCACCAAACCCACTCACAATAACCCTACAGGACAAAGTAATACAATCCCATGTGGTCCACAAGGCTATGATCTTTCTGGAAGTAGGTTGTCACAAAGCAGAGGGTTGAAAAAAAGGCATGAAACATTAAATATTTCTAGATATGTAGATCTAAACTTCCACAGATGCAACTGATTGGATTCCTATGCACACCTTCAGATGAAATCCATGTGTATAGCCTACGTTTATGTTTCTCATAAAACATATTTGCATTGATTGTGCAAAATTCTATCTCCAGCTTAATTTCTGTTACCAAATCAATGTTTTCCAACTACTGTTCCCAACTTTTGCATTCCAGTCACCCATTATTATTAATGCATCTTGATTGCATGTTCAATTGATCTCTTACTGCAAAAGTTGGCAGAAATCTTCTATTTTCTCTTCTTTGGCTCTGGTTGTTGGTGCATATACCTGAATGATAGTGGTATTCACTGGACTTCCTTGTATGCATATGGATATAATCCTGTCACTCACAATATTATATTTCAAGATGGATCTAGAAATTACTTTTTTAACTATGAAAGCAACTCCATTTTTCCTCATCTTTTCATCTCCAGCATAGATCATATGATTGTCTGACTCACAATGCCCCAAACCAGTCCATCTCATCTTGCCAATACCCAGTATGTCAATATTTATGTGTTCCGTTTCTTCCTTAACAACAAGCCAATTTTCCTACATTCATGGTTCTTACATTCCATGTTCCAACTAGTGTCTGCTTACAACTGTTTCTCCTCCTTTGTGTTTCCATATTTGAGGGATCCACCTGAGTTGCCCTATCTACTAGTCTAAGTGTGTTCTACTGTACATAGGGTTTTTGAAGGCCTGCTATTTCCAAAGAGGATGGCCAATCTTTCTTTCTAGTCTGTCTTAATCTGAATGCTCAGATTTAGAACAGTATCTGACAGACAAACATTTTATGGAAAAGGGCAGATTATAGATATTTCCCCAATTATAGAAATAACCAATAGTTTCAGTGTTGTCCCTGCCTTCAACACGTGTATCTTGACCCACCCATTCCCCTGCTCCACCAGCATTCCTTTCTACTCCCACCTACCTCCTTAAACACCTATCTCCTGCTATTCAGCACTTGTTATGATAGCTTATAACTCAAGCTTTCTGGACTTCTGTGATTCCAAACACTTCAAGCTGCGGCCAGTTTCTTATGCTTTGGCCAGTGTCTCTTCAGTTTAGTAGTAGTCTCTAAGTCCAAATACCAGGTACCAATGTTAGGGAAGGCTTCCTATCTCAGATGGTTCTGAGGGAAAAATTCTTTTCCTATTATTTCTGCTCCAGGTTTGACTTCTTGTGGCTTAGGGTCTCTTAACAATCTGCGTTATGCAGATGACACAACCCTGCTTGCAGAAACTGAGGAGGACCTGAAGCACTTATTGCAGAAGGTCAAGAACTGCAGCCTTCAGTATGGATTGAAGCTCAACATCAAGAAAACAAAGATTATCACCAGTAGATCGACTGGCAGCATTGTGATGGATGGTGAAAGAGACTGAGATGATAAACAGCTTTAGTTTGCTTGGCTCCACAATCAACACTCTTGGCACCAGCAGCCAGGAAATTAAAAGACATATTATGTTGGGAAAGTCTGCTATCAGAAACCTTTCCAAAGTACTGAAGAGCAATGAAGTCAGTCTGGAGACTAAGGTGCACCTGATACAGGCCATGGTTTTTGCAATCACTTGTTATGCATCAGAGAGCTGGACAATGACTAGGGATGATAGAGAGTTGGTGGCTTTGAGCTGTGGTGTTGGAGAAGAGTATTGAATTTACCAAGGACTGCAAAGAAAATGAACAGGTTCATCCAGGAGAAGGTTAAACCAGGATGCTCCTTGGAGGCAAGGATTATGAAGCTTTATCTGACATACTGTGGTCATGTTGCAAGGAGGGACCAGTCCTTGGAGAGGGATGTCATACTTGGGAGGGTGGAAGGACAGCTCAGGAGAGGAAGACCCTCGATGAGGTGGGTTGATCAGTGACTAGGATAATGCGGGGAGGTGTGTCAGAGACAGTAAGACTGGCACAGGATAGAGCAGCGTTTAGGGCTGTTATACGTAGGGCTGCTTTAAGTCACAGGTGACTCGATGACACATAGCAAAAATAAAACAACAGATCTAAACTTGCTTTTGGTTGTCAATGAGTCAGCTCCAGCTTCTGACGATGCAATCCATGGATAGTAGACTAAATCCCTGACGGGTCCTGTAACATTTCATGATTGCTGCTGTGCCCTAGTCCATCTTTATGACTACTGTGCATCTTCAGTGCCTTCAAATCTTCCAGCTCTGTGTTAAACAATATTCTGTTATGATCCACAGGGTCCTTGTTGGCTGGTTTTCAGAAGTGCATCACCAGGGCTTCCTTACTAGTCTGTTTTAGTCTGGAAGCTCTGCTGAAGCATGGCATGGATGATCCTGCTGGTATGTGGGAAACTGGTGGCACAGCTTCCTTCATTATAGCAAGATGCAGTATAACTAACAAACAGGTAGACAAGCTAAGGAGCAGGTACATATGGAATGATAAAGCTTTAGTGACTTTACACTGGCAGTATAAGGCACAGGAACACAGTTTGATAGTTTAAAATTATGTTTCTTCTTTTTTGTTATTTCTAGATTTAAAAAAATTGATAAGTTTACTACAGTATGCATCCTATATAGATACTCAAAAGATTTATATTTTCCTTTTAAAAATCAAATAGACCTTGAGATATCCTTGAGGTTAGATACAATAAAACAGAAATCTTAAGAGCACATCTAGATCGGGTAAAGATGCCAGAAATAATTTCTGGAATCCAAATACATACCTGTTGGTTAAATAATTAAACCTACAATTCTATAACTTTATATCCCTAATATTAAAATTATAAAATATTACATTATAATGTTACATTAAAATACATTAAAGAATAGTAGTTTAATGTCCTAAGTATATTGGATTCCCAGTGGAACCCATCAATCCACCTGTGTAGGATGTAACAGTTTTACCCTGTATCTAAAATAACTTTATTTCAAAATGTAGAGAAAGTAAGTGTTGAATGTATAAATGTTTCTTTTCCAAACTATGAAAGAAAATTCTCAAATGATTTAAAATTAAAGAATGTATCTTACATGGGAAAATAAAAAGAAGAAAACATGAGAAAACCCTCTAAATTATATTGCAATAATAGTTGAATAATAAATAGTAAAATAAAAGTTGAAGGCCTAGGAAGAGAAAGGCAGGATCCCAAAGAGATGATCACAAACCACTGAACTTTCCTGTCTCAACAGAACCATAAATGAGCAGACTTAGCCTTCTTAACCCATAACTTGTCAAAAGGAAAATAAACTTACATCTTTCAGCTGAACTTCCATTTCATGAGTATTACTCACAGATGAGCTGAAGCAACTTGTAGCTGAAGCCTGTAAATAAACCAGGATCCGTCAATACTGTAGTTTTAACAGATACTTTCTCACTGTACTTCATTCCATCACATCACAGAAGCACCAAGCAGAAGCTGGTGAACCATTACAAGGACCACAGACCACAGTCAGAATTAAGAGCTCCTAGAAGCTTCCTAAAAGATATGAGATGTCAGATCTTCTATACTCTAAACCACAAGGGTTGCCTTCTGTGTACATGAATAGGCCACTGATTTACACCAAAAAGAGGCAAAACAAAATCATGAGTTATCTAAATGAAATCTGAAAAACAGTAGATTGTCATACAAAGTCTGAAGGAAGAAAGGTAATATATTTGTACCTGTGGAAACTGATGCATACTGGCTTTGCTTTGAAATTCAGCAAGTCTTGCAGTTGTTGTAGACAAGTGGTTTTTCAATGCATCTGTTTCTTCAGATAAAGATTTCAGCAGCTGCTCCCTCCTTTCGCATTCCTTTGTTTTCTCTTCCAGTTGCTCAAGCAACGCAGCCGAACTGTATCTCACCTTCAGCTGGTCTCTGAGCCTCTGTATCTCTCGGTCTTTCTCTGTGAGGAGAGAGGCATTCTTCTCCCTCTCAGCTTCAAGGTGTCGAATTTTCTAGACATAAATTAAAAAGAACCTTAGAACAAAGCCAAGTTAAACATCAAACTACAAGCATTTATGAAATGTTTAGTATCTAAGGAGTCATCATGGCACTGGATTTCATAGTGACGGGTTTATCTTTGAGAAGGGTAAACCAATGAATTAATGCAATATAAGCGTTGTAGTTAAGATATAAAATAAATGTGACATAAGCACAGAGAAAAGGGAAACCAAATCTGACTAGGATAGTGAGAGAAAGGTTTAAAAAGAATCAATTCTCACATGAGTGTCTAATAATCAACCCTCCACCACAACAGGTCTAATAAAGTCAAAGAGATACATGCACAAGAGATACATGTTTCTTAAGGAACTTGACTCAACAGAACTTAAAAACCATAGAATGTTTCAGCTGGATGAAGATGCATTTACTATCCTGCTCACAGCTGAAGGATGATTTGGTCAAGAAGGCAATCTTTAAAGGTATGTTCAACATTTACAAAGATGGGCAAGACAAAAAAGGCACAATGATTAAACTGCTACTAATAAAAGATAAAGAGCCAAAAGGCATGTGACAGAGGCAATGATCAGACATTACAAGTTAACAGTAAAAACAACATAAAGCTAAAAATTTCCATACAGAATGGAAAAACTTGTTCTGGTATGAAATAAAAGTTAGGTGAATGGCTACTCCAGTAGAATGACTCAAGTGGATTTTTGTTAGGTACAGCTTAAGATAGATTATTAGACCGATAGTTTCTTAAAAGGCCACTTTTTTTTAAAGCAAAACTTTAATAGAGTATCCAGACAAGTGGAAGAAATAGTTCCATTTCAACCTGGGATTGCTCAAACACTTCTGAGGGCACTTCATTCTATTCTTAGTGTCTACATCGAGAGGGATATGGACAAATACCAAAGTAGTCAAGAGAATGAACAGGAAGATTTCTAGAATCCAGAAAACCTGGCGAATATGGGGTTGGTCTGCATGCATAAAAGCAAGAGGAAGCACTATTTCCTCAAAAAACCTGAACAATTATTAATGTGGATAAGAAATAAACTTGTTCTGTGTAACTCTAATTGGTGCAGTTAAAGCAAACGAGTTGAAGTTATAGCAGTTTAATTTCAACTGATTTTAAGAAATAAAATTTGACAACCAATGATCATCAGAAGTGGAATAAACTGGAACGCAATCTCTCATAAAAACTGTAAGATTCTTTCCCCAGACTGAAAAACCACTATTCTGGCTAAGAATTGGTGATGGTTCATTTCTCAATGGTTGCATAACTATTTATTTTAATTGTTGTTATGTTAAGTCAGAACCAACACACAGCTGACCCTCTAGCAGGTTTTCAGTTCTCATCGGAGGAGACTAGCCATCTTTCTCTCTCGGAGCAGCTGGTAGAGTTGAACTATGTGCCACTGGGTTGGCAGCATGATTCCTTATCACTAAGCTACCAGAGGGTCCTTAGTTTAGTGCTATTGAAAAAAAAATCATTCCATTCTACGATGTGTCTGTAACATCTAATTTTGTCAAATGATATTGTGGCTAAGGTTTTCAGTTGCTAATTAAAAGCTTGGTGGTGGTTCAAATCCAACATCCGCTCCACTGGAGAAAGATGCAGTAGTTTTTCTCCTGTTAGCATTTATGGCCTCAGAACCCCAAAGGTGAACTCTACTGATAAATGATGTGGATGACATGGTGCGGATTTCCTTCTGCTGTATACAGGGCCCTGGGAGTTGGAATCAGCTCAAATACACTTCACAATAGTTCTGACAAGTCTCTCATTTCTTTACTGAACATGTCATGACAAACTGAATCAGGGAGGCTGGAAATATAGTTTAACAGAATGTAAAATACTAATATATCTAAGAATTTAACCTAAGAAAGTCTGTAAATAAAGATTACTTGGAAAGCAGCCAATATACATGATTAAAATGGGCTCTGAGCCATTCACAAAGAAATCTGAACATTATTTGCTAAAGTGAACAAGTTTGATTGTTTATATTTAGAGAATAAAAAACCCAAGCTATGGAATTATTGAGAAAATACTCTTTCATCTCCTACAGTTAAAAAAAAAAAAAAGAAAGGAAGATATAAGAATGAGTGTCCTCAAAGTACTGATGTATGATAAAATAAAATAGTGTTCCAAAACAGTATAGAAATGAAACATTTCTAACTGATGCTGTCAATGAAAACACTGAAAAATCGATGTTTTTCAACCTTAAGTATAGCCTCACAAAGATGATTAAAATTATCCATGGAATTGGCTATCAAAAAGTTATTAGGAAAAGGCAGATTATACTAGCATTGTGCTGAAAAGGAGGCTTGGTGGCACAAGCTGTTAAGCACTGGGCTGCTTAAAGGCATAAAGTTCAGTTAAAGAGGAGAAAGTTGGTTCTCTGTGTCTATGTCCCATTCATTTCCTATCTTAACCCCTTGGAGGCTCCAAGAGAGAAAGACCTGACAATCTGCTTCTGTAAAAACTGTTGTTCTTGTTGTTGTTAGGTGCCATCGTGTCAACCACAACTCACAGCTCCCTAGTAACAAGGAATCTGAACCCTGCCCTGTCGTGCTCATCCTCATCTCTGCTGTACTTGAGCCAATGGTTATAGTTCTTTTGTCAAACCACCTCATTAAGGGTCTTCTTCTCTTGCGCTGACCCTCCACCTTTCTAAGCATGTCATTTTCCAAAGGGAAAAATCCTACTGTCAGAGTTGATAGTTACAAGCAACTTGATGTCACCTAACAACAATGATGCATTGAAAATGTAAACTAGTCATCAAGTATCTGATGATCTCAAAACACATACTTACGTTTTAAAAGTGAGAGAAATTAATGACTAAAAAGTAAGAAAAGCTCCAAAATCAATTTAGGAATCAAGATTCTAAAATCAAGGTCAAAACCCATTGCCATCAAGTTAATTTCAACTTATGCTGATCCTCTGTTAGGTTTCTGAAGCTAACAATCTTTTATAGGAGAAGACTGCCTCCTCTTTCTCCCATACAGCAGCTGACGGATTTAAACTATTGATCTTTTGGTTAGCAGTCCCACCATACCACCAGCAAGGCTTCTTAAAGTGAATGTCAGGTTTCCAAAACTATAAACTGGATGAGATAAAGATATTAGCAAGAAAAAGTTATCAGCATCAGTAAATTGAAATAGTGTTCTACAAGATTTCTACTGAAAGGTTATAAAATCATCTACCTCTATAAGTTTGTGTCTGTCTTTATCCACCAGCTTTCCTTTTCCATTTGTGATTTCTTCCACTGATGTTTTCAAAGCTGCAATTTCCTCCTTAAATTTCTCAAAGGCAGTTTCTGGTTTGGAGTTACTAGCTTTTGGTTTCCATTTGCTTTTAAAGAAATCTTTAGGAATTCTGGAAGACATCTCTGAAATTATCTGTAAAAATAAAAACACAATTACAATTTACAAACTGGAGCTATAAGTTGAAGTTGAGGTTTAAAATTGATCTGGTTACTTATTTGCTCTTAAAAAAAAGGGTCAATAAACAAGAAAAAAAAATAAGTAAAACAGAAGTTGTGTATCCAAATCAGGGGGATTGATGGAGAAGGATCAGGGAAGATTTCTGGGTTTCCAACAGTGTTATTTTTTTCTATCTCAGTGGTAGGATACACTGAGAGCATTCACCTTTAAAAAAAATATATCAACCTTGGTTCATCCCCAGGTTTCAGCCCAAAAAAAGAAGAAAAAAGTATCAACCTGTACTCTGTGTTGTAAATTGTTCTGTAAGTGTGCCATACTTCAACAAAAAACAAAGTCTTTAAGAAAAATGGAGGGGCAACAGATGAAGGCATTAAAAAAATACACAATCAAAGATACACACAGGAATAAATGGGTATAAATTAAATAAGGCACAGAAATGTAACTCTCAACATATTGGTATGTCTTCTGCTTTTTAAACTATTCACCGTTCAGACTTATTTTACTGTGATTTGAGAGTATAGTGGGCAGGAAGGTTAAGATAATCCAATATCAGACAATTATAAGAAAAAGAGATACAATATTCAAGGAATTCAGGAATGATAGAAACTACAATGAAGAAGCCAATTTAAAGAGAAGATGTTTTTGTTATTAGGTGCCGTGAAGCCAGCTCCAACTCATCAGAAGTCCTACGCACAACAGAACACCACACTGTCTCATACTACAACAACCTCACAAACACCGTTATGTTGAAAAATTGTTGCAGCTACCGTGTCAATACATCCCAACCAAGGTCTTCCTTATTCTTGTCAATCCTCTAATTGACCAAGTATGTCCTTCTCCAAGGACTGGCCCTCCTGATGACATGTTCAAATGACATTTCAGCAATAACACTTCTAGGGGCCTTCTGGCTATACTTCCAAGATGGATTTGTTTGATTTTCTGACAGTTCATGGTATATTCAATATACTTTACCAAGACTGTAATTCAAAAGTACCAGTTCTTACTTGGTCTTATTCACTGTCCAGCTTTCTCATGTATATAAGGCAACTGAACATACCATGTGCAACTTAGTCTAACTTCAAAGTGTTGTCTTTGCTTCTATTAATACTTTAGAGAAGTCTTTTGTAGCAAGTGTGTCCAACATAAAGGTGTTAGATGACAGTTTGGAAGAAATAGGTCATATAAAATGCAGCTAGTAAATTTATCTGATGAAACAGACTGTGATTATAGTGGGAAAAAGCTCCTGATGAGGAAGTAGGAACCCATTCATGTATTCAAAAACTACTATAGAGTTGACTATATACTAGGTACCATTATGAGTGTTAGGGAGCTCTGGCGGTGCAAGGACAAGAAGCTGTGCTACGATCTCAAAAGCATGTAGATCAAGTCCACCAGCTGCTCCGTAGCAGAAGGATGGGCAATCTCCCCTGAGCAATTAACTGCCTCTGATCCCCACCGGAGGGTCAGTTCCGACTTGATGGTACACAACAACAACATATGAGTGCTGTATATAAAGCCATTAAAAAAAAAAAAAAACCAAAACACAAAACATAACATTTCCTGATATGACATTTTCAATCCAGTTTAAAAAAAAAAAGTTATTACAATTCCACAGTCATTAAGTTATTAATTCTGACTTAGTGATCCCACCGTTGAGTTTATGAGACTGTAAATCTTTACAGGAGGCTGGCTTATCTCTCTTTCTCCAGAAAGAGCAGCTGGTGGATTTGAATCTTTGGCCTTTCAGTCAGTATTGTAACACATAAAGCACTGTTTCTCAGGTAAAGAGGCAGGTGGAAACAAACAAGGATTCTCAAATTGTTACAAATGCTATACATGAAAGGAACAGAGTGCAGTGATAAAATATTAAGAGCAAAAACTGGGGAGATCTATTTAACAGGCAAGGTTTGGATCTGTTGATCATGGAGTCACTGTGTGTCATAGTCAACTTGATGGCAGAAAACAAGAAGCAGCTGAGTGAGGGGGAGGGAAACCTTGTCTGAGGAAGTGATTTTAAGGCCCCCTGTATGAAATCAGAAAGCCTGAAAATACTAGAAATGGGCAGAGTGAGTTGAACAAACCATGGGGCAAAACGTTAGTGCTGGATTTCTGCTGATTCTAAGATAGCTGGTAAATCAATTCAAGCAAGTGAAAGGTCAGTGTCTCAGGCAGGTAGCTGGGGTGGCGGAATCTGCAGAGAGCTCTGCTGCTACCTGGAAAGGCCTCGCCTCCCTGACAGTTCAAATCCATCAGTTGCCCAGAGTGAGGGAAAGACAGACTATCTCCTCCCATGATACCTACAGCCTCCAAGTTCCCTATGGACAGCAGTGACTTTGGCTCTGTTTCTGAGTGACCTGCCAACACAGAAAGTTCTTTAAGTGACTTTTAAATATGACAGTACTGACTTGGCATTCTGGGTTGAGACCATACTTTTTTTTTTTAATTATGTAAGGTTTTTCTTTTATTTAAAAAATCATTCACAAAATACCATATCCATAGATTTCCTTTCTGTCATATAGCTGAATGTGTGAAGTATTTGGAATCCCATTCTTATATTTGAAAGTCAACTGGATTGCCCAGAAGTTTAGATGATTTTGTTTTGTTCTTCATTGTTTCCACATTGAAGGTTTAAGTAGGTCATCTGAAAGCATCAGGTTTGATTACAACCACATAATGCATGTCTTTCTTAAATGAAGTATTGGTGTTACACAAATGGTTCTTAGAAGCAGAGAAGACAGGTGGGAAGAAAGGAGGGAAGTAGAGTTCTGTAATTGCTGAGACCTTGTAACACAGACATAGCAGAAGCCAAGGTTAAAAGGTTAGCGGTAAAATAAATAAATAGAATAAATTTTTTTTAAAAAAAAAAAGGTTAGCGGTGCGTGACAGCACAGGCCAGGCTGCCTGCCCTCAGCACTCTGCCCCGCCCGGCCCAGCCAGGGTCCTTTCCTAGGACTCGTGAGCTGCTGGCTGACCCGGCAGTGCTTCTCCTTAATGGGACAGGCTAGGGCCAGAGGGTTACAGATCGTGTGTGCGATCCACACACACAGGTAGTCAAGCTTCAAAGTGTGGCTGCCAGACCCCGTCCCTACAGGTAAGTGCTGGACACTGGACAAGGAACGAGAAACTGCCCCAGGGATGAAGTAGCCAGACCAGTCACGAGAGCCACCTGGAAGGTACCAGAAGGTTTTGATAGCTCTGCATAGTAAAAATGGCAATTCATCAAGTGAAATAAAGTGCCAATTCTAGCCTCATTTTCACTCTAAATGGAAGGGAAGTGAGGGCACATTTCTCTTGGTTACTTACGGGAAAACACGAGGGAGACACAACACACAGACAATGCAGACTTCTGAAAAGCAGCGTCAGCACTCAGAAGCCAGCCCTGCACAGCTCTTCCACCAGCCCCTCTCCCCGGCCAAACTCCCATCCCCAAGGTGGCAGAATTTCCAGCCAAAACAAGGCAGCAGTTAGACCCCAGGCCCTCGGAAGCAGCCCTCAGACACCCGGTGCCTGGACTGAGGTTGGGAAAGGGCTGTGACAGAAACACGAGCACGGTCCACCGTCCACCGTCCACCGTCTTCTCACGAACTCCCCCTGCCTCGCAAAATACCTTCCTCCTCTGAGGTTTCACCTTTTGAAATGGGAGCCTATTTTACATTAATTTGCAAGGGGCAGAGGGGCCAGAAGCACCTAGAAATGGGGACAGAGGCAGCCTCTGCGTGGCCTCGACAGACAACTTTTCCTTGCTCCGAAAGCCATGTGTCTCACACTCTGAATGCTGATCTGAGTAAAACCAAGATGCTATTCCATCGGCCTGTGACTCCTTCCCTCGGAAGCCACAGCAGCACAGAACTCAACATGCGGGTGGGAAGAGCAGCTGAGAAGAGATGACTAGGTGTGGCCAGTGTGGCCAAAGCCAAAAAGAGGAAGCTAAGGAGAGAGATGAATGAAGCAGCACCTTGGCCCAAAGAGTGCCCTGCCCAGAGCAGCTGCCTTTGCTCCTCACAGAAAACCATGAGTGAGAAGGAGGAAGGAGGGAGCAAGAAGGAAAAGGACAGCAGGAGAGATCGGGAAGAGGGGGCAGAGAAAAGAAAAAAGCACGAAACAGGCCCTCGATCGATACAGCAAAGCCAAGAATGGACTAAAAACCACTTGTTAACAGCTGACATGCATTCACAAGCCCTGTGTTTCCGCTGTAAGAAAAGAGGACAAATGTCGGGCGCAGGAATGCTGACTGCAGGGCTGCCGGCCAGGGCTGTCCAGGCCACGGTCTTCGCCAACTCTCCCCACACCCATCCCTCCCGACCACAGGCTCATTCTTGCTCTTGTGAACAACTTCCTCTCTGGGCCAAGCTCCCCCGAAGATAGCAGAGTTGGGGTTGGCTACTTGATTAAGGGGCGTTGCGACTGTTCGAGGTTTGAGTTGAAGTCGTGGTCTCTGTGCTCTTTCCTCTTCTGTGGGTTCTCTGAAGTCCACATTGGAGCCAAGCAGGGGAGGGCCATCTCAGAAACGACTCCCCATTGGAGGGCCTGTTTGCCGGTCACCAAGGCGACTGCCTCCTCTGCCTCCTAAGAAGTCATCCCTGAAGCCTCTGTCATCTGGTCCACCTTTTCTGAAGCCAAAGCCACCTTTATCTTGCATTCTGCCTTCTGCAATGTCCACACGAAGTGACCAATCACCCAACAGTGCACCGTCATAAGTCAACGCTTCCTTCAGAGAATCCACCTCGTCAAACTCTACATAGCAGAATCCTTTAAATTTGTTTGTGTCTGTCTCTGACTAGCCGTACACTCCTTATGCTGAAATCCTTAAAGATAGCATCTATGTCACCCTGAACCGTATTAAAAGGTAGATTTCCTACATATGCTGTGTAGGGGGGTTCTGTGGGCAGCTCCTTCTGGCTACAGGAACCATGACCACCAGCGCTGCCTCGGGACCCTCTGCC